TCTCGATCTGACTCCAGAACTAGAGAAGGACAAATCCCATTTCACAGGAAAGAGACGGGACTGGGACATGAACTCACTGAGAGCACGCCCCTGCTGGAATGGTTTGCTAACAACTATAAAAACTTTGGAAATTGTCACGGATAAGTCACAAGAAGGGTCCCAGTTTGCGAAAGGACGTGGTGGAATTGGAGTCTCTCGCGGTACGGAGTAGACTCCCAGGGAATGGAATACCAAGGAGGAGACAATGGATTTTTCTCATCGTCTCTATGGTGAAATTGGTTGCTCTTGTATTTTATGAAAAATACTTTTTTAACCTTCATACATAGAAGCCAAAAACACTTTAACTGCTGTAAACTTCCAAGGTTAACAGAACTGAGATCATACTGGTTTGTTGCTTATTTTGATTGGAGATAATTAAGTTGCTGCATGTCGCAGTGACCCAGGTGCATGGCAGCGGCAGTTCGTCCTGGGCTGCCGCCCTGCACCTGCCTCCAAGGCCCCCTTTTCTCTGACTTTTCAGTGAGCTGATAGCAGCCCACTTCTTCCCTAGAACATTTCTGGAGAGCCAGACAGAGCCCCGCCCAGGCTCCCTCCTGCTGCTTCTACCCAGGCCCTTCCTTTGTTTCACTGTCCCGCTGTAATAAACATATTCTCAAAATCACCTGGTTTCGTGTTGTGAGATCTTTCCTGAATGATTTGAAGAACTCACACACTGCCCGCAGGCCCCAGGCAGACCCGCTCCAAGCCCCGTCTCCTTTCCCTCCTTTCCGGTGACAGTAGGATCTGCCATCCTCATACCGAGCCATGGGGTGCAGTAGTTCCTAGCATAGAGGTTCAAGGGCAGCCTCTGCCATTGCTCTGCCTGGGCTCTGATCCACACCGAGAGACAATGTGGCCTTGGCCAAGTCTAGGCTGCAGTTTCCTCATCTGTAAAATGACCAAAAAAGGGAGGAAAAAATGTAACTACTTCTCAGGTTTATTGTGAGGGTGACATGAGATCATGCATGTGATGTTAGCTTAGCCCAGAGCCTGCCACATAGAAAGTGTACATTAAATTCAAGGTATTATAATTAAGGGCAATGGAATGTATCGGGACAAGTGAGCAGGTGGCCCAGCCATGCTCTAAGTTGCTGATGACTTCATATAAATCTCTCAGCCTCCCAGGATCCATACTTCCTCCTTTGCAAGATGAAAGGATTGAATCAAAGGTGGGCCCTTCTGCCATAAAGATCTGGGAGGCTCTGGAGAAGTCTGAGCCACTCCCTGCTGAGAAGCAGCCACTGCTTTAAAACCCTGGTTTTCAATGCCTCGGTAAACTACACCTCCTCTGGGGAACTCCCAGCCCGAGAGGGGAGGCTGCTGAGTGACAGAGAGCTTTTCAAGATATTTGGCTGGGGCTGTGCTGACTCAGAGGAAACAATGAGCACAGTTCTCAGTCCCAAAGGTAACTGAAGTCCCCTGCCCGTCCCCAGGGAGACAGGGAGAAAGCCCTCTGCGAGCTCGCGGAAGGCGCAGGGCCCTCATGGCATTCTAGAATGTCAGCGCTGGAAAGCTCTGTGGGAGTTTCCCGTTCAGGGATGTGTAAGCCACATTCTGCGAGTGCTTCTGCAGTCCCTCAAACTATAGTATTCATCTTGGTTTGTATGCCTCAAGCTGTATTAATTTTTTAATGGGTTTTTATTGATTTCAGAGAGGAAGGGAGAGGGAGAGAGAGAATAGAAAATCAATGATGAGAATCATTGATCAGCTGACTCCTTCACACCCCCTAATGGGGATCGAGCAGGCAACCCTGACATGTGCCCTAACCTGGAATCAAATCGTGACCTCCCAGTTCATAGGTCAGTGCTCACCCACTGAGCCACACCAGCTGGGCTACCTCAAGCTATATTTCAGACTGTGACTGAAAAGCAGCAACGACACTGACATGGGTCACCCATTACGTTTCAACACACCAGAAACCAAAATCCATGAATGTGTTGTGGCAGATTCTGCTGGTTGTCATCAAATCTACCCTTCGCTTTTTCCTTCATTGTGAATACTGCAGTTGGGTGAGTCCATGGCCACCCAAGTCAAAGACTACATTTCCCAGCCTCACTTGCAGCTAGGCTGTAATTAAGTTTTGGCCAATGGGATGTGAGTAAAGGCTGTGAGTGCTGCTTCTGGGGGCCTTAAAGGGAAAGGCTCTGCCCTTCTCATCCCTCTTCTTGCTGGTTCTCAGGTGGACGTGATGGTGGCGCTCAGGCTGCGTCTTGGCCTTGGCATTGGAAGTCTCATGTTGAAGGTGGTGGACAAAGGAGAGAGGGGCCTGAAGTCTTTGATGGTCATTGGGTTCTTACTTTCATTGGGTGCTCTGGGCTGCTCACCCGACACTTCATTCACACGAAAGAAACATACACTTCTATCTTCTCTAAGCAGCTCTTATTTTGGAGTTTCTGCCTTTTGCAGCTAAACTTAATTGACACATTCGGGGGTCTCAGTGATTGACTCTATAATGCATTAGTAATACAATATTTTTATAGTTTACTGAATGATTCTAAGGAAAACGCCTCTTGTAACTGCCACTCAGGTCAGGAAAGAGTTGTACAGCCACCTGGACGCCCTGCGTGTGCCCTGCCCCAATCACAACTGCCCCCTTGCTCCTGAAAGTGCCTCCATCCTGACTTTTATGGCAAACACTTCCATGTTAGAATAATGTAATATTACCTTAAAAGCACGTTGGTTAAAGGCCACTTTTATCTGTTTTATAGGGGATGGTGCTTAAGACTGACAGAAGGCCTCCTCCTATCAAACAGTTAGGAAATAACTGAAATAGTCTGACCACCTCATGCTCTAGAGCAGTGGTTCTCAACCTTCTGGCCCTTTAAGTACAGTTCCTCATGTTGTGACCCAACCATAAAATTATTTTCGTTGCTACTTCATAACTGTAATGTTGCTACTGTTATGAATCGTAATGTAAATCTCTGATATGCAGGATGGTCTTAGGCGACCCCTGTGAAAGGGTCGTCTGACCGCCAAAGGGGTCGCGACCCACAGGTTGAGAACCGCTGCTCTAGAGGAAGAATGTGAGGCTCAGAGAGGGGAAAGGACTTTCTAACATCGATCAGCAGATTAGTGGCAGAGTGAACTGAGACTCAGGTTCTCTCTGACTCTTTAGCATCTCATTTTCTGGTTCTTTCCAGGAGAAGGGACCCTAGAGACAAGGTGCCAGCCTCACCCAATGACTGAAGGATGGGAAAGGCTTGCACATAGAGCCTCTAGTACAGGACATTCCCTCCTCCACCAACAACAGACCTGGCTCTTTCCGCATAGATCTCCTTTTATTTTAAGACCCTTTACTTACTTATTTATTTTATTGATTGATTTTAGAGAGAGAGAGAAACATCAATTTGTTGCTCCATCCATTTATGCATTCATTGGTTGATTCTTGTATGTGCCCTGACTAAGGATCGAACCCCCAACCTTGGGGTACTGGGACGACACTCTAACCAACTGAGCTACCCAGCCAGGGCACATATAGATCTCCTTTTTGAAAATTCATGAGGTACAGTATTAGCATGTTGAAGGGTCTGAGAATTCCCACAGTGACGCGTTACATTTGATTTTGATGACCTGGCATTTCCCGAACTTTTTTGTCTTTGGGGCCTTGAGTTTCACTAGCAGCATTCTGCATAGAATAGTGTGGCAAGTGACGCTGCAATCCCTTTGTCGGATGCAGATGCATGAATACACAAGCATCACGTATAGAACACGGTAGAAAATCACCCTTCTGGCCCAGGTCGCCCATCTCTCTGGAAAAGTACTGAATTATCCCATCCTCTGTAAAAATCCATTCCTAACGGCCCAAGAAGCAATTGTGGAACTGACCTAAACCTGCCCAGTCTGGGGTGGGTTCTCTGGGGGGCGAGCTGGCTGGGCCCCACAGCCTGGCACTGGGCTTGTTGTACCAAGAGCCCTGGCCAGCCGGCAGCCACCCAGTGTGTGTCTGGGCTTGTTTTTCCTTCCTCTCCCTGCTTCTTTTAGAACATAGCTGAATAGGTCCAGTCTCTCAGCCCTGCTCCCAGCCAACACTGGACCCCTCAAAGTCTGGCCAACTCATCTCCCACCGCCTTGATAAACACCCCCTCCATGCTGGGAACCACAGCACGGGCTGTTTTTCTCCCTCCTGCACCCCAGGAAGCCCTCCCCGGGCCTGGGCTTCCTTCCCAGGCATTGGCTGCCAATCCATTTTAAACTCATCCTCAGCCCAGTCAGTCACCTGAAGAGAAAGAGACTCACAGAAGGCCCCAGATGAAAGGGTCTTTAATCCTGTGGCTTTCTGAGTTTTGTTTTTAGCAGGAAAACCTTATTTTCTAAACAAATGATTCTGCATGATTTGCCAGTTTATAGAATAAATAAGGACATTTCTGGTAGAGTTATTTATTCCAGCAAAACACTGGAAAGAAACTAAATGTCCATCGGTAGGGAACAAGTTTAATACAATTATGGTGAAGTCATACAATGGAATATTATGCAGCCTCCTAAAAGCATGAGGCAATTTCCAACAATAACAACAAAAGTCCTAGGTAAATCCTTACTTTATGTGGGTAATAGCTGGTTAAAAAATAGTTTAGGGCAGAGATGAGGATCATGTGCCACCTCCTATTCAAACTTGGTTAATGTGTATATAGTCCTTAAACATGGAGACAAACATCCCAGTTCGCCCAGAGCTGAGGGTTTTCCAGCACACAGGACTTTAAGTGAGAAGACTGAGAAAGCCCCAGGCAAAGGGATGGGTTGTTCACACTGTACTTAACAGAAACAAAGACTTTTTAACAAAAATGTTTTTATTGACTTTAGAGAGGGAGATAGAGAGAAACATAGATGAGAAGCATCGATCAGTTGCCTCCTGCACCCTCCCCCGCTACTGGGAATCGAGCCCAGCAACCCAGGCATGTGCCCCGACTGGGAATCTAACTGGCAACCTCTTGGTGCATGGGGCGACGCTCAACCAACTAAGCCACGGAGGCCAGAGCTATTCCTTTTTATTTCTTTTTCTGTTTTTGAAGACTTTATTTTAGAAAGAATAAAATTACTATTAATTTTAGCTCCCTGTATATTCACACCCAGAATTGAACCGGTATGGATACTATAACTGCAAGGGCGAAACTGTGTGGCACGAAACCATCTCAAGACACAGTGATCAGCAAGAAGGAAAAGGCAGGGTACAGAGTCGTGTGCTAAGCGTGCTCTCACTTTGAAAGTTTCTCTCTTTCATTTTTCCTAAAGGTCAGAGAAGGGGACAGTGGGGTTTCATCCATGTAACAAAGTGAAGTTCGTGGCTTCCTGTCTACTTGTGCACCCCATCATAAGAAAATGGCAGACTGATTTGCACCAAGATTTGAAGATATGTTTGCAATGGTCTGACTTAAAATACAGGTTGTTTGGCTGGTGAAAATTTCATTCTGGGGAGCCGGGGGAGGACGTGTCAGAGAGACAAGCAGTCCTGCTCCGGGGAAGCTGGCCCTGGTTAAGCAAAAGAGCCCACATAATTGCCCATTGGAAAAGACACACACGGTGGGTTCAGGTCCAATGACAGAGGACACGGAGTGGTTTCCAGTGAACGTCCTAAATACAGGGTCACGAGGTGGACTCTTCAAAGGAAGGCCTGGGTGTGCAGGCCATATGGGTGGGGATGGTGCATGATTCTTCTCAGTGGAGTGGCTCTTTTAGCATTAAAATTCACATTTGCAGACTCATCCGGATGCGTATGAAACGGGTAATAATCAGTGTCTGTGTGGAGAAGGACCAGGGACCTGAAATGAATGGGATATTTATTTTTCATCATGTGCTCTTTTCAACTATTGGCAATATTTCCCATGTCTATATAGCAAGTCTGTTTTTCTTATTTATGAAATATTTCAAGCATACAAAGTGAGGATAATAGAGTTAATACCGTTGTATCTACCTGCTGGCTTTGACAAATCTTCCCATTTTGCATAGATGATTGTATCAGAAAAGCCTGCAGTTTCCCACCTGTGTCTTTCCCCTTTACTTTCACACAGAACACTTCTGACCCTCCTGCTCCTGCTCACCAGATGTGGGGGGGGGGGGGGTTGCCCACACCAAGGAAACCTGTAGCGCTGGCCAGGCGTCCTACACTTTAACTGAACTCTGACACCATTTACCTGGAGATAGAGTCAGACCCCACAGGTTCAGGGCTCGGTTCCACAAGACTCCCCCTACTCAGATGCCAGTCGCAAGTAGAAGGCCCCCAGGTTGCCCACAACTTCTGTCCGACTTGACTACAAGGTTCCCATGACCGTCTCCCCTTTGTATTTGATCATTTGCTAGAACTCATTACTTACGTTTCCCAGTTTATTAAAGGAAATGATAAAGGACACACTTGAACAGCCCGATGAAGAGGTCCACAGGGTGGGGTCTGGGCAGATCCCAAGCACAGGAGCTTCTGTCCCCATAGAGTCGGGGTGCACGCCTTCTGGTACGTGGATGTGTTCATCAACCCGGAAGGTCTCCAGACCCTGATTCTTTCGGATTTTCAACAGAGACAATCATTTCATCTGCAAACAAAGAGAGTTTTAGTTCTTCCTTCCTAATCTGTATACCTTTTATTTTATTTTCTTGCCTTATATTAGCAAGAGAGGCCATCCTTGTCTTATACCTGATCTTAGTGGGTGGGAAAGCTTCGTGTTTCTCACCATTAAGTATGATGTTACTTTTAGGTTTTTTTTCTGAAAATATTCTCTATGTTACTTTTAGGTTTTTTTTTCTGAAAATATTCTCTATCAAGTGAGGATGTTGCCCTCTCTTCCTAGTTTACCAAGAGTTTTAATCATGATCGTGTGATTCTTCTGGTTTAGCTTATGTGATGGATTTCATTAATTTATTTTCAAAGGGTGAACCAGCTTTGCATACCTAGAATGAATCCTACTTGGTTGTGGTATATAATTCTTTTTAAAGATTGTTGGACTTGATTTGCTACTTTTGTTGAGGCTTTTTGCGTGTATGCTCATAAGAGACATTGGTCTGTAGTTTTCTTGTAATGTCTGTCTGGTTTTGATTTTGGGATCATGCTGGCCTCATAGTGTGAATTGGGAAGTATTCCCTCTACTTCTGTTCTCTGAGAGAGATTGTACAGAATTGGCATAATTTCTTCCTTAAGTGTTTGGTGGAACAATTAGTTAATTTGGATCAATAAGAGGATCAATCTTGGTAGGAAGGTGCTGGGAGCCTGGATTCCACCGTCTGCTCCTCTCTTTTCCCTGAGATACCTGTATGGTTTCCACAGAACATAGTTTGAAATCACTAACGTAGACCACAGATCAACAAAATTTTCCTGTAGAGGTCAGGATGGTAAACATTTTAGGCTTTGGGCCACATGGTGTCTTTGCCCCATCAACTGAGCCACTGTAGTGCAGCAGCCGGTCCAGATAACACACGCGTCTGAGATGAAAGTGAGTCCATGAACTATTTAGTGAAAGAAGCCGGTTACAAATATCAATACTAATAGAATAGCTAATGCTTATTGAGACTTCTACGTGCCAGGCACTGGGCCCAATGATTTATGCGCATTATCTGATTAAATTCTCAGAACCACTCCAAGATATAAATGCAATGATCTCCAACTTACTGGTGGGGAAACAGCAGCGTAGATGGTTTAAATACCTCACCAGTGAGATCTGGAGCGAGGAGCTGAAGCCACGCAGTCTGGCGCCAGAGCCTGAACTTTGAAACGCTAAGCTGCATTGCCTTTTATGTTTACCTGTATATACTGCATAAGCCTAAGAAGGACCTGGAAGGACATCCACCGAAAAGTAAAAGGATTTTCTCTCTTATGTGGAGAATGGGGGAGGGGTGATTTAGAAATAAGGTTCTAAAATTGTTTATAATTCTTCTGTATCATCAGAAGTTAGCTACTTCCATTACTAATAACACCAACAAATGAGGTAGGAGGTCTTTTTATTTTGAGAGACCTGTCCAGCTCTGACTTCCTAGACTTCCTCTAGCACCTGCCATCTCTGGAGGTATCTGGTCTGAGGAAGAGGTGAGGGTGGGAGGGCCTGAGGGGGTCTCCGGCCAGGAAAGGGAGTTTGGAGATCTTGGCGACTGCAGGTTGCTCCTCCAGCCCTTCCTACCACCTCCCTGGCTTCTCTGGCCTCTCTAATTACAAGGAACCTAGAGAGAATCACAGCTTCTGTTTAGACCAAAAAAAAGAAAAAAAGAAAAGAAACCAAACCAAAACAAAAAACACCCAGGAGTTAGACACCCACAAACGGCGGCCTCAGTGAGGGCTGTTTCCAACTTGGGCCCTGGGAGGGGCAGGGACAGCAGAGCACGGCCTGGCCTGATGTGGGGTGCGGCCTTGCTGAGGGTCCTTTTGCAAAGTGGCAGGGTTCGGAGACACCTTCTCAAACCGTAACATGGAGTGTTGGCCCTGCCTGGGCGCAGCCCGTGCTGGTGGTCTGCGCCTGGGAAGCAGGTGCCGTCAGGGAGCAGAGACTGAGCGACCTGCCCAGGTTGCTCTGTCGGTGACCTGGTGCCCCTGGACTAGTCCGGCTTTTCCATGCTGAGTCGGCAACCGTGTGAGCTGGTCAGTGGGCGCCCAGAACTGCTTGCCCTTTGCCCAGTTTTCTCAGCTCCCACTATCTAAAGGGCCTCGACAAAGAGGCCAGTGATGGGGTGGCTGGTAGCTCCGGCTCGGCCTCTGAGGGAGGGCTGAAGAGGGTATTTGGGGATTCCTTGTGGCGTAGAGCGGAGAGGGAGGTGGGAGGAGAAAGGGAAGGCTGTTTGGCCTCCGAGGAACCACCATGGGGAAGGGCTAGACCAGTGATGGCGAACCTATGACACGCGTGTCAGAGGTGACACGCGAACTCATTTTTTTTGGTTGATTTTTCTTTGTTAAATGGCATTTAAATATATAAAATAAATATCAAAAATATAAGTCTTTGGTTTACTATGGTTGCAAAGATCAAAACATTTCTATATGTGACACGGCACCAGAGTTAAGTTAGGGTTTTTCAAAATGCTGACACGCCGAGCTCAAAAGGTTCGCCATCACTGGGCCAGACGGAAGCCCCGTGTGTCACGACGATCCCAGCCCAGTCTTGAGAAGTACCAGGGAGACAGGGGTGAGTTCAACGCCAGAATTTTCCCTCACAGGGCTGCCCAGGGCTGCAAGCTGCTCCTGGCACTCTCTCAGGAGTGGCGTGCAGGTCAAGACTGAGGGCCACCCGACGGAGGGAGGGGTGTGCACACTGGGCTGGATGACCAGCTAGGTCTTCTCCGTCCCTAAGATCCTGCAGTGATGACGACAGTAGCCCAGCTGGGCACCCGCCGTGTGCACACATTCTCTCACTTGAGTCTAATAAGAAGGTCTAGTTGCTATTGTTGCTATTTTACAGTTAAACAAGACCCTAGGCCAGTGACGGCGAACCTTTTGAGCGCGGCGTGTCAGCATTTTGAAAAACCCTAACTTAACTCTGGTGCCGTGTCACATATAGAAATTTTTTGATCTTTGCAACCATAGTAAAACAAAGATTTATATTTTTGATATTTATTTTATATATTTAAATGCCATTTAAAGAAAAATCAACCAAAAAAATGAGTCCGCGTGTCACCTCTGACACGTGTCATAGGTTCGCCATCACTGCCCTAGGCCGTTAAGCAACGTGCCCGAGCTCACACAGCTGGTGCACAGCGGGCTGGACTGACCCTCAGCCTGCAGAGCCTGCATTCCTACCCAAGATACAGCCTGCCTCCAGCTGGGCTCTACAGTGCTAAAGGATTAGGGTGCTCGGAGCCCATGATAAGGAGACCCAGGGAGATAATGTTCCTACTCCCAGAGGCTTTGATGTTTTATTTCAAGGCTGCTGTGGGCGGTCATGAGATTTGCAGACCTTCCCCTCTCAGGAAACAGGTTGGAAACTTGTCCACTTAAACTATGTGGCCACAGCCCCTAAAGCGTTCTAAAAGCGGCTCCGAGGGACACTCCCCAGAAATTACAGACCTGGGGTTTTTAAGAGACTGGCACCAATTAAAGGAGAATGCCACCAGAGGGCCACGTCCCGAACAACAACCGCTCACCCCCCCTACGGCGCAGTGCCCAAGGCTCCGTTTTTACTTTTCAGTGTGCCAGGGTTGATCGGATCCAGATTTGAATGTTTCGGTTTTCAAACTCGATGTGTGGGATGCCATCATCAAGCATGAGGCACGCGATGGCTCTTAAGTCGAAGCAGTCGCCTGGGCTAGCTATTGTTATGATCCCCATTTTACAGACGAGGAAACCGAGTTGCACAAAGGAACCAGTGACTTTTCCAAGGTGGCGTCATTATTAAGCGGTGAAAACAGACTGAATACAGATGTGCTGACGTCAAAGCAAGACTTGATGTCGCTGGGCTAGGCCACTGTCTCCTGGGGACCAGACAGGATGGAATGAGATTAATGTGAGGGCTCGAGGGACAAATGTCCCCCAAAGGCAGTTACTGCACGGCCATCCAATACCCCCTCAGTGGCTGTTCTGTGCGCCGAGGGACTAGGCGCCTGCCCTGATCCTTGAAGACGGGAAAGACACGTGGACCAAGAGCTTTGCCACAACACAAGCTGGTGGGACAGGCACTGTGGGGGCCAAGAGGAGAAATAAATTACTTCCAGTTGTGGAGCGTTTCACGGAGGCCATGGAATGCAAGGGAGGGAAAGGAATCTGCACATGGAGACAAGGCTGAGGCCGAGGCGGGGAGGGGAGTAGAGGGAATCGTTCCACATACAGTGAGGCAACATGAACGAAAGGCAGACACCTGGGAGACACAGGAGGGGCGGGAAGGGGGCCGGGTTAGTGCTGGGGGAAGCACACATCTGCTCCCACTCCCACCCCTACCCCTGCCGAAGCGCCCGTCCTGCTGTGCGATCTCATTTGCTCTGTGGACAGCCAGCTGGGCTGCTGGCAGGCATGGGAGCGGCCCCAGCTCCTCTGGGGCCTCAGCTGGAAACTTGGATTCAAAGAGCCAGAGGAGAGGAGCTCCTCCCAAGACCACTCGCCCCAAGAGGCACCGGTGTCTCAACCCTCAGGTGTTCCCAACGGGCCAGCCAGCCTGAACCAGGTCTCCGGGGGAAGCTGTGAAAATGGAAAAACTCCCCAAGTTCCTGTTCCCAGAGCCTGCAGACACAGACTTCTCCCAGGATGTGTAAATCCAAAGGACACTGCCATCTCGTGGCCCAGAAACCCAGATACCAGGAAGGCTGGGAAAGGCCCTGTGCCCCAGAGGGACCACACAGCCAGAAATGGCTGGGCCTGAATTTCACAATGGAACCAAAGTGATGCTGGCATACATTTTAGAGTCAAAACCAAGCCTTGTTTCTGGCTGCCAGGGTCCCTGAGGTGCAGGTGCTGTGTATTGCGCAGATGAGGAAACTGCCTCCTGGAGAGATTAGGCGACTGGTCCAAGGTCACACGTTGGCCAAGCACAGGGCCAGGTCTTACCCCAGGGTCCCCAGTCTCTGCCCAATAAAGGGTTAATGGTTAAAGCAGTGATTCTCAACATGTGGTCCCCAAGACCTTTCAGAAGGTCGAGGTAAAAACCATCTTCATAAGATACCTTTTTCTCTCCTACAATCATACAGTTACATTTCCAGAATCTAAGTGCTGTGCAGTGACCTCATCTTGTCCCAATGGCTGATGGGATGTGTGCTCGTGTTCTCTAGTGTTTCAAAAATTCCTGTTTTAATTTCTAATATAACATGGCTCACAAATAACCAAAAGCCCTCTGAGATAATAACTTTTAAGAGTATAAATGGGCCTTAGGATAAAAAAAAGTTTGAGAACTGCTGGTTTAAAGAAATACTTCAAAAAATAAAGTTACCCAAACTAAAACATCCCTGTTTTGATCTAGATGAACCAACTCTATGCTGTGAGGCACTGATTTTTAGATTGATTGAAATCCTAATGCTTAGGCTGACTGAAATTGTAACTAACATTTCTACAGATTAATGAAAAACACGTATGTGAGTAGAGAATGGTTACTGAGTGATTTCTAACGGGCAGGCTCTGCTCTAAGTGATCTACATGTGTCGCTTCATCTCATCTCCAACCACCACCTGCAGGAGATGCTATTATCACATTTTATCCTGGGGACACTGAGGGACGAGTGGCCCAGCTGAGGAGTACATGTGCTTGGAATCTGTCCCAGGCAGTCTGTCTTCACTGCCTCTTCCCACTTTTTCTGTCTTAAGATTTGACATTCACTTGATATGACAAAAGATTTTCAAAATACAGAGTCCAAGGAAGTAGTGAAAAGAAATAAGATCACCACCAATCTGACCCAACACCTTCACTTTATAGATGAGGAAAAGCGAGGGTCAGAGAGGGTGAGTGACTTGTAAAATATCACACAGCAAAGCATCCAGATCCACTGGGTTTCTTACTCCCAGTTAGGAGCTCTCAGAGCTCCAACCCAAGTAAACACTGCAGTTACCTCCTTCATAGCAACGTGTGAGCATCACAGCACAGCGCGTAAGCCAGTGACATCAGGACTACATACGAGACAACATCAACAAAAGCAGTTTGACTTTATTGCAGGGAAGCTAGGGAGGGTCTCTGCAGGAACTCCCAACGTTGGGCAGGAGTGCCAGGTTCCAGATCTGTCTGGAAGGCAGGAGAGGATCAGGGTCCTGGAAGAGATGAGATGTTAGGTGGGACAAGGGCGCCATCTGCTGTGTACGTGGACGCATTGCAGAAGCAGTAAAGGTTCCCTAAGAGGCGGTTGTGGGAGGGGAGGTGGGAAACCAGGTGCTGGACAAGACCCAAAGCCCGGTGTCTAGCCCTGCTCACTGCTCCCAATCTGTGGTTTCCAGCTTGACTGGAGCCCAGTAACCTTGCTAAGCCAATCACAGCCCAGGCCTCTTCTGGGGACTCTGGGGGCTGCTGGGACAGCACTCCCTGTCCTGCTTCAACTTACACTGGGAAGGCAATGAACAGCATCCTGGGCAAGCGAACCCGCCAAGAGATGATCAAGGGGCTTCATAACCACAACCATTCTAGCTCTTGTTCCCAAACCTGAAATCAGCCCCTGGGGGCCCCTAAGCAGACTCGTAAGCAGACGCAGACAGATGGGATGCTGCCTGGGTGTGTAGGGTAAAGCGCTTGACTGGCGATTCTCACCCAGTGCCGTGACCCGAATCTGGGGAGCCTTCCTGTACTACACACGGTTACTGACCTATGTGCAGGTAAAAGCATATGATGTCTGGAATGTTCTGTGGGACAGTACGGGCGGGGGGAGAGGCCATAGATGAAATAATGGTGGCAGTGACTGGACAATGGTTGGATCTGGGTGATGGGTACATGGGGATTCATTTTTACAACTCTACCTGTAGGTGTGTGACACTTCCTACGATTAAAAAAAAAATCCAAAATAAGTAAATAAAAACTATGAGCATTACCCAGCCACAGAAAGGAACGCAGTACTGACCCATGCTACGTTTGGATGGATCTTGAAAACATGGCACTAAGTGTAAGAAACCATACACAAAAGGTCACAAATTGCATGATTCCTTTTCCATAAAATGTCCAGAACAGGTGAATCCAGAGATGGAGAGATTAGTGATTGCCAGGAGATGGGGTGGGGGGAGGGCAGTGGGAGAGATTGCTTAATGGGTACAGGGAATTTTTTCTGGGGTGATGAAAAAACTCTGAATCTAGGAAAAGGTGGTGATTGTACAACATTGTGAATACACTAAATGCTGATGAATGATACACTTGAAAATGGTTAATTGCGTGTTATGTGAATTTCACCTCAATTTTTAAAAATACTGTGAGAAAAACATTTAGCCAAGCATGGTTTACAACCGGCAGGCCAGGAGGTTCCAATTCATTGTGGGCACTGGGGCTCCCCATGTGTTTGACCAGCTCGGGAAGCTTTTGTCTTCCCTCTCTCCGTCCATCCCTCAGCCCCCCACAGCACCCTAGGGATGCAGGGATAATGATGAACACTGGCCCGCAGCACCTGGAGCCGCCAGCCTCTTCGAGAGATTTCACAGTAACCTCTGCCAGGCAGGAAAGCGGAGGAGAGTTATAGCCCCATTTTTACGGAAGGGAAGGCTGAGTAAGCAGAAGTGTCCAAAGTCACGGTGTGCAATGAGGGCGGGGCTGGACTCAGAACCCTGGAATTCCGACCGTCCATCCTGTGCTCATCCTGAATGTGGGTTGTAGCCATGAGCATGTGAGGTCACTCTATGCACAGGACACTGCCCTGGCTCAGATTCCAATGGGCACCTTTAGGAAGGAGGCTGTACTCACGAGGACGGACATGGCCCACCAGTCAGTTGTGGCTGACTGCCTCTACCTGGGGAGCTCTCCACGGGCCACTGGGGACAATGCCACCAGCCATTACAGGTCTCGGGTTCAGGACGCCTGACGCCCATCCTGCCTCTGCCACCCACCTGGATGGGGCTTTAGTCACGCCACTTCCCCTCTGCAGGCCTCACTTTCCTCAATCACAGGGATGGCAATCACTACCATTCACGCAGCCCACGCACTACGTGGGGCGTGACACCAGGAGGCTGTGCCGTGAAGGGTTCTGAGGCTGCGGCTGGGCACAGAGGGCATGCTGGATGGATGAGTGCTGTCTGCCCTGGTTCCCTAGGGAAGAGCGCTGGCACAGTGCCTCTTACTGGCCTCCTGGATTTCAGGAAATCAGTGGGAATATCCAGCTTAGACACACGACTGTTCGGCCTCAGTCTACATACCTACCTGGTCAGCACAGAGCACAAGGCCCAGGGCACAGGTGTCATCTCTGATGGACAGTCAGCTTATCAAAGCAGAAAGCACACTGCTGCCCTAACCGGTTTGGCTCAGTGGATAGAGCGTCGGCCTGTGGACTGAAGGGTCCTAGGTTCGATTTCAGTCAAGGGCATGTACCTTGGTTGTGGGCACATCCCCAGTAGGGGCGTGCAAGAGGCAGCTGATCGATGTTTCTCTCTCATCGATGTTCCTAACTCTCCATCCCTCTCCCTTTCTCTCTGTAAAAAATCAATAAAATATATTGATTGTGAAGTGCATCCATGTCATAAAAGGAGCCCTGGGAGACATCGCACAGGACAACCTCTACTCACAGGTACTGCTAGGGTTCCCTGGACACGTGACTGGCATTAGATAATGAACTATTCTGGCGAAGTGCTGGGGCCTCACCCACCTGCCCACTCTGGTCCATCCTGCGGGCCGGGGGCCCAGGCCCTCGCTATTTGGGGCCGATGTAGGTAACAGTCTTCCCTGTTTTCTTCAGCGTCTCCAGCAGAGTGTCCACGTTGTGCTCAGAGTCGATGCAAACCTTCTTGTTGGGCAGGTCGATCTCAAACTCAACTCCTGCAGGAAGAGGAAGAAAGAGTTCAGGCTCTGAAAATCTTATTCACAACCACTCTTCCCCTTTCCTCCAGAGCAGGGGTCGGGAAACTCCCTGTAAGGCTGCAGTTTGCTGATCCCTGCTCTAGACCAGGGCTTCTTCTTCTTCTTTTTTAAAGTTATAAAGTTAACTCTTATTTTTTTAAATATATTTTATTGATATTTTTACAGAGAGGAAGTGAGAGGGATAGAGAGTTAGAAACATCCATCAGCTGCCTCCTGCACACCTCCTACTGGGGATGTGCCCACAACCAAGGTACATGCCCTTGACCGAAATCGAAACTGGGACCTTTCAGTCCGCAGGCCGACGCTCTATCCACTGAGCCAAACCGGTTAGGGCCCAGGGCTTCTTTTAAGTGTCTTTTTAACGGCAAAAGTAGTAGAGACAGCCCTGGCTGGTCTTCTCAGTGGTTAGAGCACTGGCCCGGCACCCAAGAGTTGCAGGTTCGATTCCTGGTCAAGGGCATGTACCTCGGTTGCAGGTTCACTACCCCTCCCAGTCCAGGTGCATGCAGGAGGCAACCAATCAATGTGTCTCTCTCACAGTGCTTCTCTCTCTCTCTCTCTCTCTCTCTCTCTCTCTCTCTCTCTCTTTCTCTCTCTCTCCCCCTCCCTCCCTCCCTCCCTCCTTCCCCCTCCATTCTACTCTCTGAAAACCAATGGAAAAAATATCCTTGGGTGAGGATTAACAACAACAAAGTAATAGAGACACACCATTAAAAAAATAAAAGGCAACTATTTCTGAATAAATTTTGAAAGTGTAAGGCCCCTACTCTCTTCTACCTCTAGAGATCACTGCAACCAGTGTGGCACTGTCCCATCTTTCTCTCTGATAGACAAAGGAAAAAAAAATGACTCTCCCAAATGGCATCATACTATACAAACAGGTCTTGCTGAATTTCACTTCCAACGGCCAGGATATCTTGTAGCACATACACACTTCATTCTTTTATTGTTGAAAGTAACGTATGTCCCCTTTCCGTGCCCCCCCCACCAGTGACCCCTTCTAGCCTGCCTCCGCCCCTCCCTATTTCATTCTTTTTCTAACAGCTACACCGTGTCCCATAGTGTGGACGTACCCACGTCTACTCAATCCCCTGATGAAGGACACTGAGGTTGCTTCCAGTTCCTCACTCTTCCCACAACAATGATAGAGTAAACGTAGTTGAACGTATCTTATAAAACCTGTGAAAATATTTCTGTCCCAAGCATTCACAGAATCGAAATCGTGGGGCACCTTCTCGATGATAACTGCTATTGCAAAATTGCCCTCTTCGAGGGCTGTGCCAACTTAAAGCCCCCGAGCGGCACAGGGGAGTATGTAGAATGGGTCTTGTTGAGACAACAGAATGCAGAGGGAGGGCCCTTGGCAGGTTCTAGGTGTGGCTTCTCCACTGACTTGCTGGGTCCTGCCCAGTATAGGCCTCAGTTTCCCCCTCTGTACCGAAGGAGCTGGGTTGGCCAGCCGC